TTACTCGAATAAAGGTACATAATTTATCGTTCGAAGCGTAATAATAATTGGAAATAATTGTTGTAATGGCAAATGAGATTATTCGAATAAAGTACTTGGATAATTTATCCAAGCAAAGCGTAATAATAATTGGAAATAATTATTGTAATGGCAAATGAGATTATACGAGAAGTAAATCTATAATAATTATTTAAAGTAATTTTATTCGAAATTCTTAATTAACTTCTTTATTAATTGGTTATCTTTTTAATGAATTAATGTTTAACTCTAGATAAAAATTCAATCAGATCCGTATTTTTTCTATGAGATTTCTTTTCTCTCAGTGATGGGGAAAATTTAATAATTTCAGAATTTACTCGAATAAAGAATTTACTTGAATATTTATCAAGTTCAAAGTAATGATAATTGGAAATAATTATTGTAATGTCAAATGGATCAATTATATTTATTCGAAATTTTTAACTAGTTAATGCCTTTGGATACAGATTTTGGATTAGTATATGTAACAAATACTATGGTAGTAGAGATAAAAATACGTGTGAAAATAGACGTTTCCCTCTAAATTAACCAATCAGATCTGTATTTCTTCCACGAGACTTTTTTCCTCTCAGTGATGGGGAAAATTTAATAATTGAAGTTACTTTGATAATTTATTCGAAACGTAATAATAATTGGAAATTCAAGCATTTTAATAAATAATTACTTAAAAGTAACTTTATTCCCAATTTTTAACTAGTTAATAATCCAACTCTGAATAAAGATCGTCGATTTTAGATTAATATACATGACGAAAATAATACTATTGAAAATAATTATTGTAATGTTACACGAGAAACGGATCAATCGTAACAATTACTTAAAATAACTTTACTCGAAATTTTTAACAAATTAACTTTTTCCACAATTAACAATAATCCTCGTTTTGTACGATAAAGAACTCCATTCATGTTCGAATTCCACCTCACACGTTCTCGTTTTATTCCATACAATAATGCAATAATCAAAATCTTGCTCCTCCCCCAACACCTCACCTAATGGAACTAAACGGCTAATTCGTCTCCTCGACAATTGGAGTAAAGCTTGACGATTAACGAGACGTGATTTCGCCTTCACGCTTTTTAGAGAAACTCGCGTTAATGACGGTCTCTCGCGAGTTAAAGAACGGCGATACGCTAAAGATCCCGTTTAGTCGAGCAACGCCATGAATCGTCGAACGTCGAGCAAAGCGCGACTCTTACTCCTTCTCGCCTTGCTTCTGAACGCCACCTTCTCGACTCTCGAAACACCAAACATAACTCGAAACGAGGGACGTGCGACTCCTGTCCACGAGTCGCTCGAGAAATCCTCCTCCTCCTCCTCTTCCTCCTCTTCGGTGGAAATGGAGGAGGATCGACTCCTTTCGGAAAATTCCATCACAACGACGATGGAAACGTATCGAAAATTACCCGTCAACGAGAAGAACGTCACCAAGGAAGAATTTCGACCGAGCTTTCATCTGGGCGAGATCAAAGAGTCGAGAATCGACAACCCCTTCAACGCTCCACGCCACTTCAATATGGACGATGGAGGGGCGACGAGGGACGAATCGTACGACGAGCGATCGAAGCGCCTCCAAGTGGTGTTCGGTCGAAACACCGGCGAAAATTTACACCACGANCCGTTGGATCGTTGGGAGAGGAGGGGAGGAGCGACGGAGCGCGAAAGGATCGCGTCACGTTCCGTGACGCAGCGTACGAGCTTCCTGGATACGACACCCCGTCCAAGGAGCAGCACACGTTCCATCAACGGTTGCCCAGCAGGGAGGAAGACGGGGCCACGCAATCGTTCGAGCCGCAGGATCAACAGATTTTCGAGCACGGGGTGGCGAGTTACGTTTGGGGGAAACCGTCCAAGTTTCAGGGCGACTCGTTGAAACCAGAGATCGCGATCCACTCGAACGACCCGTTCCTCCATTCGACGGTGTTTCACGATCGTCCGATTCAGCAATCGAGCTCGTACGATTTTCAGAAGCCGAGCGACGGATTGGTTTACGTCCAAGAATCCTCGTTCACCAGGACCAAAAAATTTCCTTACGGTTCGATTTATCAGCCGCACGTCGGATATCAACAACAGATCGAAGTCGTCAACGATTTGCGTCCATCTTATCCCGTTAAGAAAAGGTATTATACTCTCTCTTTCTTGCTCTCTCGCTATCTATCTATCTATCTATCTCTTTTTTATCCATTCTTCGCAGCAATATAATTTTCAATATCTTCGACCGTGTCTTCCATCACAGGGGATCACCCTGGACGAAGATCCTCCACTTGATCGGCACGATTCTGCCGCTGGGCCTGCTCATAGCCGCCCTCACACCGAACGTGGTCAAGGTTGACAACGCTACGTGAGTGTCCACTTTCCTTTATTAAACGAATAACCGTAATTCTAACCGCGATATCCGAATAAATATCCCAGCCAGCCCAATATC